ATGGGGATCGAATGCAGGACCACACACTTGCCAGGCAGGTACTGTGCCACTGAGCTAAATCCCTGGCTCCTTAATTATTCTTTTAGTATAAACTTAAATACTTTAAGTCCTTAATGTGAAAATAATTGGGGTTCTCAATGTTTCTTACTTTAAACATTCTGTATGGGTATTGTAATGTTATTGTCTTAATTTTATTTATTTATGTATTTTTGTTTTTTTGAGACAGGGTCTTGCTATGTGGTTCAGGCTGGTCTTGAGCTATGTGCCTCACAGTGATCCTTCTGCCTCAGCCTCCCAAGTGCTGAGATTATAGGCATGTGCCACCACACTCAGCTACTGTCTCGATTTTAGAATATAGTAAACAATAAAAAATATCGCCTACGACATTTATGAAAGTAAGAGCGATTGAGCTTTAAAGTTGTGGGGCTTAAGAAAAGAAATAATAATAACAGTCTCACAAAACTCATCTGAACCGTGTGGTGGCAGTCTCCGTTTTGTGTACCTCAGTTGACTTGATCTTCCTAATGCTGGAAAAGTATTAGACTTTCTGAAACTTGCCCAGAAAGCCAGTTCCTTAAAGGCCCAGTGTACCAGCAGCAATAGCAAACATGCCCTCCTCGCTGTGTTTGCGGGCGCAGGACGCTGCCGCAGCACTTGACAAACGCATCGCATCCGCCCACTATGCTCGGCACAGCTGGGAGCGCAGCTGCGGGCTGCAGCTGGCTGTGTCCCTGAATAATCATTGCTGAAAAGTACAGACGGGGAAACCTCTTCCAAGGGTTTCTTCTCCACCGTCACCCGCTTTCTGTCCCTCTCGGCAGACTTTCCTCTTCTACTCAGACGAGCAAGTCCGCTTGCTGTTGCTGAACAATGAGGAGAAGGTGAAAACCTGGGTGCCTGGTCTCTGCTGCACTGCTGGCTCTGAACAGACCTGCGATACCCATGGAAGAGACTGATGTGGGCCCCACTGGGCCAGAACCTTAGCAAAAACTGCAGCTTTAATTCAGACCCAAACACTTGACAGGAAGAAAAAAACTCTAAATGTCCTCTGCCTTTGTTTTAAAGTATGAGATGTTTCCTGACTATAAAATTAATGTACGAAGGATGACAAATGCAAATGACTTTAGCAAACATAAAGTATAAGTAGGAGACATAAAAATCCCCCTAAACCCTTTAACTCGGAAGTGCAGAGTATATATATTATATATGCTACTGGAGACCATCCCCAGTGCTCTACCACTGAGCTACATTCCCAGTGCTTTTTATTGTTCGAGAGAGTCTCACTTAGTTGCCTAGGGAACCTTCCTGCCTCAGCCTTCCTCAGTGCTGGAATTATAGATGTGCACCATTCAGCAAAGAATACATTTTTTAAAAGATTTCTAATATGAAAAAGACATGAGATTTTTCTTCAAAAACACATTGCTGTGCACCCTTTAAAGATGACATGTGAGAATCAGACTGGTTACTTTACTTTTCAGTTAATACCACTTGCAACTTTCCATGTCATTTCATTAACTATGCCGCAAACACGTTTTTCATGATTTATGCACGATATCAACTTCTGGAACCGTTCTCCTGCAATTTTGTCATAATATTAGCACCATCTGACTCCTCTCCCATATTCCTTACCTCCATGGAATCCTCATGGGCATTTACCACTCTGGCTTCAGTGAGAATTAAGCACAGGAAGAGGAAAAGCAGGCCATCTGTGCAGGCTGGGAAGACCAGTGGAAATTAAATGGGGTGTGAAAAAAAGGCACTCATGCTCTTTAAATAAAGCCACTTGACAGAAAAGCTTACCTATGTACAGAGCTAATCGCTGGACACACAGCTCCAGGTGAACGGCCAGGCTCAAGTGTTCTCTGTTTAAAGAGTGAAAGCGACCCCGTTTTTTCAAAATCATTTTTTATAGCTCCAAATTGATCCAACAGATTTCGATCAAAGCTTAAAAACTTCAAAGATGTTAAGCCAAGCACAAACAAACCTACACTTCCCGTGACAGTGCCACCTCCCTCTGGGCTCTGCGGCTCAGCCCTTGATGCTCGCTCCCACACTGCCTCCCAAGCAGCACGCAGTTTCTTATCCCATAGCTCTCGCTCCACCCTCTCCTTCCGTCTCTCCCAAAACACATCTTGTTGCCTCACTGGAACATCTAGTGACACCTGGCAATTGAACGTGTGGGATTTAAAGTCACACTGAGCACTTGAATTCTGTCTGAGGCAATTTAAAGCAAAGCAAGGAACTGATCCACTCTGTCCCTTCGTCCTGATCTGGCAGATGGGGATGACTATACCTACCTCAGAGTGCTGACCTGAGGAGTCCTGGTGTTGTTTCCTGGATTCAAAGCTCAGTACTGCAAAAAAGAAAACAAGGGTGTGAAAATTTCTTGTGGGATGGCAGAAGTCAGAGAAACTGATTCTATGATAATATTTTCCTTTCTCTTCTCTTCTTGGGATTGAACCCAGGAACTCTGCAATGAGCTATATCCCCAGTCTTTTTTTTTTTTTTTTTTTTTTTTTTTTTTTTTTTTTTATTTCATATTCATTTTGAGATAAGGTCCTGCCCTAGGCTGGAACTTGTGATCTTCCTGCCTTGGCCTCCAGCAGTTTTGAGATTCCAAGAGTCTACCTACCACCACACTTGGCTACATTTTCTAAACCAAAGAAAGAAGGCCTACTTTGCCTCAGTAGCTCAAAGGGGAGCAGACATCTGGCATTGGTTCTGTCCCGTGAGCTCAGCTCTAGAGTGACTCCCCACCTCAGAGGAGCAGCGGTAGAGAAGACAGGTCCCGCTACTCCATTTGCTGCAAGTTCTCTCCACCACAGGACAGACATTATGGAGAAAGGGGAGGCCGGAAGGGGTAGAAGCAATAGAGCAGGACCCCTCTTTCCTCCTTTAAAAAGAAGAAAGGCCTTTGTGAGGTTTCATGCCCCAAATTATCAGCAAATGAACTAGCATTCACACTTGAGCCAGAATCCATGGCTGAAACTCGGTGACAGCACTCAACCAGCAATTCAAAAAGTCTCTTATCGCTAAAAATTTTTCTTCCTTTCCATTGACATAGGAGAGGCCCTGGGTGGCAGTGGAGAGTGGGAGAGGTGGGAGAGAGGAGAGGAGCTGACACGAAAGCAAGGAGGGGGCAGGGACACGCTGCGTGAACAGCTGACTGAGACAGGGCTGTGCATTCCTCCTTGCTTATCTTGCCCTTAGATTGCGATAGAGTTGGCTCCTTTCCCAGGGGAAGTGCTGGGGTGGAAAGGATTTCGGCAGGGGAGCAGCGCATTCCTGGTCTCCCAAGGGAAAGGACTATAGTTCACTGGACTGTAGGCAGCTGTGTGTGTGTGTGTGTGTCTGTGGGCGGGGGGGCGGGTTCCAGGACTCTAACAACCCACGCAATGGTAACGGTGTGGGGGGGCTAATATTCACATGGCTGTTTCTATATGATACTGCTCTAGGGGCTTCACACAGATGAACTCACTTAACTTTCACAACACTATGAGTAGGAATCACTATAATCTCCCACTTTGCAGACCAGGGAGTTGAGTGATAACTTAGTTAAGAAACTTACCCAGCATCACACTGCCAGCACTGGGCAGATCCTGAGCTTGATACTGGGCTCGGGATACTGCCTCCATCATCCACACAGTGACCATGCTCAGTGGTCTCTCATGGTGAGTGTAAAACAATGGAATAAGTGCTCAAGTAAAGGATACTAATTCCTAACAATAGCCAGTAAATGTTACCCACTACTAAGGGTCAAGATCTTATACATCAGATATAAGATATAGAAATTTGTTTCTCATTTAATCCACAAAACAGTCTTATTTTAGCCATTATTATCCCTTCGTTACAAAAAAAAAAAAAAAAAGAAACTCAAGATTAAGGAGGTTAATTAACTTGCTCACGTTTACATCTGACAGACAACAAAATGAGAATTTAAGTCTATTTATTTACTTTAGAGAGGGTCTTGTTATGTAGTTCAGGTTGGCCTTGGACTATGTAACCCAGTCTGGCCTGGAACGTGCAGTGATCCTCCTGCTTCAGCCTCCCCAGCGCTGGGATTATAGGAGTATGCCACCACGGGTAGCTAAGAATTTGGATATATTTAGTAGCAAATCCATGTTTGTATCTGGTACCCTACATCCAAAAAAATAGCTATTTTTAATTTCCTCATTAAAGTCAACATGCAATTTAAATAGTCTCTTATGGCTAAAATTTTTACTCCCTTTACACTGAATTTTTACTTTTCTATAATTAGAAAAACAGGTCCCTGACTACACTGATATATCCTGCCTTCTCAGGGCATATTCTGTGCTTTTAGTGTTTTGCAAATGCTAGCCTGACTTACTTAGGAGTAACTCGGACAAGCAGCAAAAGCATTAGCTGGATAATTACTGCAGTTACTTTGCCACTTGTATAGGAGTGAATAGTGAAACTAATGCCTTAGTGATTAATGGGTCTGATAAACTCAATAGATCAACATAGGTCTATGTAAGACGCAATTTAATTCACATAGATCTCTTGTTAGTCCCAGAAAATAGTATGGTACCTGGTAAGTACTCTATAAATGCTCTGTCCACCAGTGAGTGATGACACAGGACTGTCCAAGAAGTTGTGGGCATAGCTCAGGGACAGAGCATTTGCCTCACAAGTGCAAGGCCCTGGGTTCAATCCCAGATGCACAGGAACAAACAAACAAATAAACAACCCTGAGTTATTCTATAAAGAAGGGATATTTTGCATTATTTTGTCTCAGTCTCCCATATTTATATAATATAGTAGAAAGATAGGCATCAAGAGCCAACAGATCTGAGTTTGAATTCTATCTCAAAGGATGTGGAGGTAAAACAAGTAAGCACATGACTCAGAGATGGCCACAAGCAGGTGTGTAGTACTTTTACTTCTCTGCCTGCACCTTTCTTTGATAAGCAAGCTTGCACCTCCTACTCCCCATTCTCCCTTCCATATCCACCTGCTTCACCCTTCACCCCAACTGCTGCATAAAGAGGGACGGGAACTATTTTTCTTTATCTTTTCATTAAATTAACTGACACTTTTTAGGTATACAGTACAATCACATTCATCATTGGGATCTTGTACCATTACTTGATGTATCTTGGTTCTTATTTTATCCCAATTTCCTTGCCCTCCCTTCAGCCCCTCCACCCTTCCCTATTTACATAGACTTTGTTTCCATTTTTTTCCTTTTCTCATATTTTTTCTTTTCCCTTCTTTCCTTTTCCCTCCCCCTCCCACTTCCCCTTCCCCTTTAGACCTTTTCTTTCTGTTTCACGTTATCAATTATACAATTTGGATCTTATTTACACTTTTAGTTTTTCACACCAGAGAAACTATTCAGTATTTATACGTGTGTTCTATTTATTTCACTTAAAAGTATGTCATCAATGTGCATCCATTTTCCTATGAATGACTCTAGTTTCTCATCCTTTGTGGCTGAGGAGTATTCCATTTTATAGAAAACCCACATCTTCTTTATCCAGGCTCCAGTTGATGGACAACTGGGTTGTTTCCAAGTTTTAGCTATTACAAACTGTGCCACTATAAACATGGGTGCACATATATCACTGTGGTATGATTCTTTTAATTCTTTTGGAAAGATACCCAGCAGAGGGATAGCTGGGCCAAATGGGACCTCTAATCCTAGTTCTTTGAGGTGTCTCCATATTGATTTCCATAGCGGTTGCACTAGTCTGCACTCCCACCAACAATGGAGAAGGGCTCCTTTCTCCCCACAACCCTGCCATCATTTGTTATTGGTTGGTTTCTTGATAACAGCCATTCTTTCTGGGGTGAGGTGGAATCTCAGTGATGTTTTCATCTGCATCTCTCAAATGACCAGTGATGTTGAACATTTTTTCATATATTTATTTGCTGCTTTTACTTGTTTTTCTGAGAAGTATCTGTTCATTTCATATGCCCATTTTTTAATCGGGTCTTTATATTTGGGGTTTTCTGATTTATTTTTAGTTCTTTATATATTCTAGACTGTAGACCCTTGTCTGAGGAACAGCTGCTAAAAATTTTTTTCCACATTATGGGTTCTCTTAGCTCTCTTGCTGGTTTCTCTTGCAGCGCAGAAGCTTTTTAATAAGATGAGATCCCAGTTGTTGATTTTTTGTGCTAGTTCCTGTGCTGCTGAGGATTTGTTCATAAAGTCTTTTCCTATGCCAATGTCTTTGAGAGTTCTACCTAACTTATCTTTCAGCAAGTTTAGTGTTTCCATTCTAATATTTAGATCTTTAATCCACTTGGATTTTAGTTTAGTGCATGGTGAAAGATAGGGATCTAGTTTTAATCTTTGGTAAGTTGAAATCCAGTTTTTCCAACACCATTTATTGAAGAGGCTATCTTTCCTCCACTGTAGATGGTTGGCTCCTTTGTCAAAGATGAGGTAACTGAGTACATCTGGAGTTGTTTCTGTATCTTCCAATCTATTCCACTGATCCTCAGGTCTTTTTTTTTCCCGCAGTACCATGCTGTTTTTATCACAGTGGCTTTGAAGTATAGTGTCAAGTTGGGTGTTTTGATACCCCCCACCCGTGTCATGTCTCTGTTGCCTAGAATGACTTTTGCTATTCTAGATCTCTTCTGGTTCCAAATGAGTTTTTGTATTGTTTTCTCTAATTCTGTGACATATACCATTGGGATTTCAATAGGATCAAATTGAATCTGTATAGCAGTTTTGGAAGTACGGCCATTTTCATTATGAGAAACTGTTTTTCTTAATAGTCATAAAATTACTATTGGTCAGAACCCCCTGCTCCAGAGCCTTGTTATGCTAGGCAAGTGCTATTACACTAAACTACTAAACTATACTGCTTCACTAAAGAAGGGAATGGAGAGCAAAGGAAAATGAGATTCAAATTATTCTACCCTAATTTTTCAATCCCAAGAGTTACACAAATGAGAACCCTAAGATCTCTTCATATATATATATTTTTTCACCAGAGATTGAACTCAGGATCTTCTTCTTATAAGGTAGGTGGTGGCACCACTGAGCTAAATTCCTGGCCCATCTTTTATATTTCTCTCTCTTTATAACACAAAATATACTAAGCTGTGTATTTTTTTCTAAACAATTCTTTCAATAATTGCTGTGTAGTTTAACAGTCCTTACTGAGTACACAGTGACAATGTAGCAACTCAAAGTCGACCACAGTGAACACCGTCAGACAGTGCCCATGGCCCCTTTGAGACAGCTGCTGTGTTGCTGAGGGCAGTGAGGCCACACTCACCTGCTCCTTATGGAACCACCTCAGCAGAGGAGAGCTGCTCCACCCAAGGGCACACTCCCTCTGTCAACTGTGTGCAGTCACGGGGGACATGGAGTAA